GAGAGAGAGAGAGAGAGAGAGAGAGAGAGAGAGAGAGAGAGAGAGAGAGAGAGGGAGGGAGGGAGGGAGGGAGAAAAATATGCAGGCATTCTGAGATAGGGAAAAAGATACCCAGGCCTTCCCTACCACCATAATAGAGCACTAGTGGCTATATCTTCTCTTCCACCATAGTAGAGCACTAGTGGTTATTATGGCCAGTTATGTCAGAAGGGGATCTGGACAAAATGCGAGGACAGATCATGGATCACAAGAACAAAAACGGCTACAGAGTCAGTGTGATGCGAAGCAAAAGTTTGCCAAAGAAATAGCCATAGAGAGTTATCAGAACAACGACGGAGGCCTCAATCAAAGATGACGCAAAGGGGAGGTACATCATGGAGAGGGGGTGGGGCAAGAGCCCACAGGGGACAGTCAAGGCAGAAGCGGGCACACACGAAAGGCCACATGGAAACCCATAGGAGAAGCAGAAAAAAAGCCAAGCATACCTACAAAAGTATCCATACAAACAACAAAGAGACTTATGAATCTGGATTCTGGACAGAATATTAACTCACATACAAACACGCTACATATTATTTACACCATGGATAGGCAAACTCCAATAATCATACATACAATGCATGCCTATCAAATCAAAATGTGAAGGTGTGCCGGAAGATCGTCGCCAAGTACGACGCCAACTACCCAGGAGTGACAGCTGACAGTTGCATGCACATAGCATGGTCTCCACATGCAGCCATGCACCAACCTGCATGCACATAGCATGGTCTCCACATGCAGCCTTGCACCAACCTCTACAGGACAGGAGTGCCCCTCTCCTTGTGCGGGCCCTGCTGAGGAACATGCACTTTAAGATCTCCTAAATCTCCTACGCACCTAAACAATATTGTGGTCCTTTTGTGGACACGTTATTGCTCTTTCACGAGCGAGCTCATCCTGAATCCTGGTGCTTCTCGGTGACCCCATCTCCACGGCTCGAAAGCCAGCATCACTGCAAGGTCAGCAACAAGATTCGACAGACGATGACCTCTGGTTCTTCTACGACCACCACCAGACTACCGACTCCAAAAATGCAGTTCTCAAAGAGGAAGCCATCTCAACCTCCTTTGGACACGCACTCTGACAGTACACACCACCAGTTGTTGACATCAACAGAAAACAGATGATCAGACAACACTAACAAGGTGCCTGCCAAGTCAAAAAAATACGACATCAAGAACGTATCATCTACATCTCTACGTAATAACCACCTCACTGAGAAATGTCACATCATCTAAAGATTTCATAATGACAATCTGATCTCGCACGCTGGGACATGCTGACGACGTCCCCCTTGAAATCAGCCCGACCTGGCTTAGGCTAAGCTAATCAATACATAAAACGCACATTGGATCATCGCGACAGGATTCTCGCGTAAACCCCAATATGTCCGAGTCGACCCCGGAGAGTCGGCGGAGACTCCTCGAAGCCCTCAGCATCTCTGTACCACCTTACTGTACGAAGCCTCGAATTTCTGACTCCAAGAGTCCAAACTCACAACTCCGTAATCCATCCGTAATCCATACCAGTCAGCCAACACACCTCCAGCTCAGCTATCTTTGACAAGCTTCCGTGCGCGAAGGAATTCCATCAGTGATTTATGGTCCTTAATCTCCATCAAGTCTTGCACCAGCTTCTCTCTGCCAATAGAATTGAACAGGACATTAAAAAAAAAAAGCCATTGCTTAGAATTTACAAAAGAGAAGGGCAAGAAAGGCCCACACCACAAGCAATCACACAAGGAAGAAGGGGGAAAAAGCCCGGAAAAAGAAGTCATTGCCTGAATTTACAGCTAAGGTATGGGGGGAGCAACTGAATTGCAGGTAGGAGAGGAGAGAAGGTACAGTCCACCCAGACAAGTACACCAGGAAAAGAATCACCAGGAAAGAGTCTCCGTAAATGCCCACGCATGATACCTGCATACACGGTCCCGAAGCAACGCAGACAAGGAGGTCTGGGGTTGCCCACCAGCTTCGGCACCCAAGAGCTCATCCAAAATGAAAATTGGGCTGCTGTAATCCCGCGCGAATGCAAACTGTGTGAAGGCCGAAGGCTCAGCAGGTCAGCTCAGGAAAAAATTAGACGTTTCAAGTTTGAGAGGAACAATGGTGGCCTCAATTTCATTTTATTGTCATTTTATTCTCATTTTATTGTCATTTTATTGTCATTTTATTGTCATTTTATTGTCATTTTATTGTTAACTTTTATTCAAATTTATTGTCGTTTTTCTCTACTTAATTAGACACAACAAGCAAAAAATTAGATTAGAGAGTCAAACCACAGTGTCCCAGCCAAAGCTGGCAAATGTATCGCTCCAGAAAAGACAAAGACAAACAGCAAAGAAACACACGGACCATTATAGCGTCATGTCTACACCACAGCATCACCATTCCGGCCCAAACGAACCAAAGACAGTCACTGTGACTCACTGATACTCAGATACGTGTGTGTGCAAACCGCAAACACATCCCCAATTCCTCATCTCACTTCCCCTTCTTGTACTTTGAAGAGCCTGCAGGTTTCACCCCCCATGCCGATATCTGCCTACAACATGTTCCGATATCTGCCTACAGCATGGTAAAACAGACATATTACTGTCCTTCGGGACATCCGTTACAAACTTAAAATTGGAACGATACAGAGAAAAGTAAATTAGCAAATGGTCCCTGTGCAAGGATGACACGCATAAATCGAGAAATGGTCCAAATTTAAATTAAAAAAAAACAAAAAAAAAAAACAGACATATTACCAGGTATGACCTCAAGCAGACGACAGGAAGTCAACAATGGGCTGTGCTGTCCGCGCATCAAAAACCTGACTGGGAATCTGCATGTGCCATGCAGTAATGTACGCAGCATGCACACACACTGCATGCAGGTCTACGGGATGAGCTAGTGAGTCTGAACAAAGTAGGGGAATGGCAATGGTTCAGTGGGTCTCGGCGATAGTGAATCTGAACAAAGTAGGGGAATGGCTATGGTTTGGTGGGTCTCAGTGAATATTTCTTGGATGCGTTGAGCAATTGGGAGCGGAGTAGGAGTAAGTTGATGTAGGGCAGGTACCACCAAGTGGTGGGGGATACTGATGGCATCAGCAAGAATGGGGGGAAGGGGGAGCTAAAGGGCAGTGTGGATATAGGACCCCTCCAACAATCTTGTTGCCAGCTTGTCAGTGATGGGCAACTGGACTGCTGGCCCTGAGAATAGAAGGGGCTTTGTGTTCCAAAAAAAAAAAAAAAAAAAAAGGCCACACATCCTCTAACTCGTCCCCCTTGCTGTCCCCTCGAACCCCCTTATCCCCCCCCCCCCCCCCCCCCCCCCCCCCCCCGCCTCAGACACATTATTGTTGAGAAGCAATCCGTTGCCATCAAGTTTTGTACTGAGTACAAGCAGACAAGAGAGAGAAAACTGACCTGGAGTCTGCCCAGACAACCTGAGATGCAACTGTCGCAGTCGCAGCAAGGCCGACCACCTGCAGAACGCCCGCAACTGCTTGTCCAGCACATACATACACACCAAAAAAATAATAATAACAATAAAAATTCCGAAATGAGCTATACCTTACTCTGTTCTTCATAAGAATTGCAACTACTAATTATCACCACATTCTTTCCACAAACACATGTCCTATAGACATCGACGAATTTGTCGAGGCCCAAGTTCCTTGCAGCGATAGGAAATGAACTTTGGCTGGCCATCAATAAATCTCATCACCGACGAGAAACAACAGACAAAACCCCCAGCAATCGGCGGCCTTGGGTGCCAACAACAGGCACATCTTCTTCTTACAAAAAAAACAAACCTCAGTAGACATCTTTAGGTATTCAATAATCTCGAAAACTTTATCGGCCTTTTGTCTAAGATCAAGTGCAGCATCTGTTCCGAAACTTCCGATCAGTGGTCCTTCAGGGGAAATTAAAACGGGGAAATAAAAGAATCTCTGATGCTGGTCAAGATTACCAGGCTCAAAAAAAACAAAGAACGAATCAGACCTAGGTGTAATTAATTATAACTCACCTCCAGCGAGTGCTCCAAGCCCGCCGACTCCAAAAATAATGGCAGGCAACGCAGCCTTCACTGTTTTATTGATGTCCTGACGGGCAGTGGCAAACCGATCACCCGCCGCCGCAACCTGAGAATCATCCCACACGACCACAACGTCAGAACAGGACTCCCCGCGTCACAACAACCATTCTTTTTTTTTTTTTTTTTTAAACACAACAACCATTCACCATTACTGGCTCCTTCACATCAATCAGTCCTATTTTTTTTACATTGTCAGATTCTCACGTCATTGTACCTCGCACTCACACTAGCAAGCTCTTTTCAATTCATTGCACCTTGCCGCAGTTCAGATAACAATTTAGGGTAGTAGTTCTGGTGTGAATGCGCCCTTCGCTACAGTCAACAAATGGAACGACAGGAACCTTTCTGCCCTTCTCTTCTATTCCGTTCTCTTCTCTCCCCTTCTCTCTCCCCTTCTCTCTCCCCTTCTCTCTCCCCTTCTCTCTCCCCTTCTTCAGCAACAGAAGACAGGAACGCTTGAGACAATTATCGACAAAACTTGAGAAAAAAGTGTATTAAACCGCTAGTACACGGCCCTAGCCTTGCTGACAAGAAACTTGTCGCCTACGAGTTTCGGCCAAAAAAGATGGCGCAGGTGCACTGTCGATAAAAAAAATTGGTGGCCTGCGTCGCCTACCGGACTCAGACCGGCGCCTGCAGCCGAGTGCTGGATGTACTTGTGCTTTAAGAGATTCTTACCACTCCTTACCTCTTCCAATGCATCACGTAGCTCCTCATCAACTTCCGTCAGGTCAAGATCTGTGTAGAGAATCTCCTCTCCCCTTTCTGGTGTACGATTATCCACCGGAAATGCCGCCTCCATCTCCTTTTCCTCCTCTGTTGCAGTCAACCTTATCACCGCGTTCCCAGAAGTGGTCTCCTTCTCCTCTTCTTCTGCTGACAACGATGCCTCTGCAGAGATCATAAGATTCATAGCCAATCGAGCCACGCCAAGTGGATCAAACAGTGTTACACTCTTGCTATTGCTTGCAAAAGGTGGGAACAAGCCTGACTGTTTTGCAGATTGGGGAGCTCAGGAAGGAAACATACTTTCATACTTTCATTCCAAACACCCATCTGAGACCCCTCTACGGCCCACTGGGACTGCTTACACTTCCATCCAACTATCTACCACTTTGTAGTCTGCCACAATAAATCTCCACACAGTGTGCCACAAGCGAAGCCACTGCAGTGTTGCAAACAATCATGCATCCCACTGACAAGCTTAACTGTGCATTTTCTTGGGCATGATGACTCAAAACTTGGCACCCAATGGCATATCTATGTCTGACCGTATGCACAGACCAGGCAACCTTTAACAACCCACCTGCTCAGCCCCAGCCATCCCCCTCCCAACTATCACCCATTCCACTTGCAGTTTTCCCTACTTCTTTCCCACATGCATACCCTACCTCTCACAGTTTCCCTCCTCCCACATCCATACCCTCTCTCTCTCTCTCTCTCTCTCTCTCTCTCTCTCTCTCTCTCTCTCTCTCTCTCTCTCTCTCTCTNCTCTCTCTCTCTCTCTCTCTCTCTCTCTCTCTCTCTCTCTCTCTCTCTCTCTCTCTCTCTCTCTCTCTCTCTTTCTCACGCGCGCACGTGCACACACACACACACACACAAAGCAAGAGAGAGAGGTCAATGCACTAACACAACTTTACCACATATTGACAGCTGAAGACAGGTTTCGGCGCAAGGGACACCATCAATCTCGAGATAAGCCAGAAGGGTTGTGCCATGGATTCATTACCCCTGGTATCATTTTCATAATCTTCCAAGTCATCGTCAGGCTCATCACCAGATTGACCGCCCTTCAAATCATCCTCATGCTCTGCAACGTCAGCTCCAGCTTCAGCAGACAAAGAGTCTCTCCTACCAACTCCATCTGCAAGTAAGCTGCTACCCACAACGTCACCCACAAGACCTTTTCTAACCTCATCGTCGTCAACCTCCTCTTCTCTAGCGGCTGTTGAAACTGTTGAAAACCCATTCCCAAGTTCTTGATCTTCCTCCCTTTCTCCTTCACGTCCCCTCCCTTGCACAACAGCCACTGCATAGCCTTCATCTTGCACACCACTGCTTCCCCCATCACCAGTTCCATGATCAGTATCGTCAGTGTAATCAAATCCATTTACACCTGTCAGATCACCCCCGTTGACCAGGACACCATTCCCTTCATCATCATCTCCACCATCAACATCTTCCCATCCATATGTTGCGTCACTCTCTGCTTGAACAGCACTCTCCATGGCTTCACCGATTCTACTCGCGACTGTTTCACTGGCATCAGCATCATCCACAGTTTCCCCTTCAACATCTTCCCGTCCATACGTCGCATCACTCTCTGCTTGGACAGCCCTCTCCATGGCTTCGCCAATTCTACTCGCCACTGTTGCACTCTCATCATCAGCATCATCCACAGTTTCACTCAGTTTGTCTTCAGACGTAACCCCCTCCGCTGCTCCTGGGGCCCCTGTAGCCTGGGGAGTGATCTCTTCCTCTGCAGCATGCCCTTCAGTCAAACCTGTAGCATCACCGCTGGATCGTTGTTCGCTCAATGACAAATTGGCCTCAGCAGACTGCACATCAGTAACATCACTATCAGGCAAAGAAAGATCATCCGCTGCAGAGGGCTTCTGTGCTGGGATATCACCGTCGATAGTCTCTCTCACACCACTTGCCCCAACTGCTCCCGCCGCAGCAATATCACCGTCGATAGTCTCTCTCACACCACTTGCCNGCCGCAGCAATATCACCGTCGATAGTCTCTCTCACACCACTTGCCCCAACTGCTCCAGCCGCAGCAACTGTTGTCCTACTATGGCCATCCGTTGAGGAAAGATTGTCTGTGGTGGAGGTAGGCTTTGCTATGTCGTTATCCATGGCAGCAACGGCGCCAACAACCGCAGCTGTGGCAGCTGTAGCTGCAATACCTTGTTGATTTCCGCCGTAGTGGGGCAAAGAGGCCTCCGTCTCACTCGCCGCAGCTGTGGCAGTTGTAGCTGCAATACCTTGTCGATTTCCGCCGGAGTGGGGCAAAGAGGCCTCAGTCTCACTCGAGTCTAGCTCAAGGGCATGACTCTCTCCAAGCTCCTCCGCAGAGTATGCTTGAATAGTTTCGGTTTTCATATCTTCCACATTCCCCGTTCTCGTCAGAACAACATCCTGAAAATGGCTCTTAGCTCGGCTTGCATCACTCGGCTGTAGTGTGCTGACAAGATCCCTTCCTTTCTCCTCTCCTTCATCCTCATCCGCCATGCTGACAGCACCACTACCTGCTGGCCCCCTGACAACCTGCCATCCTTGTCGGTCGCTGTCGAGTTGAGGCAGCGAACCACCAGTCACTGGCACAGCACTAGTAGACGGCTGGTCAAAACTACCCGGCTTAATGTCCCGAGTCTGCATAATCACCCTAGGCGACGAGGATCTGGAGTTGCGAAGCCGCTGGTACAAGTACACAAGCAGTGCCAAAAGGGCCGCGATCCCAGCACCCCACAGCGCACCTTTCTTAACAGTGAAGGACTCCGGTGGCATCGGCGGCAGAAGGGCCTCTGTCGTGCTCACTTTCCCACTTCGACCAGCAGATGCACTTCCTCTCAGAGAAGATGGCTGCAGTGCCGAGGACTGGGCTGAGCCCGACGATCCCATCCTTTTCGCAATCATCTCAGGACCCACTTCCACCAGAGGATCGTTCGCGACAACTTCTTGGATCCACACTGCTGCTGCAGAGGGAGAGTTGAGTGCAGCGGTGTCCTCAATTTGTTGTTGAGGGCTTTTGGCAGCGGGTGCATCGCCCCCTGCTTTCTCCAATACACTAATGCTGGGCAAAGGACGGTCCTTGTTCACTTCTTCACGTCCCCTTGCAGCCGGAACCACCTTGCCAGATGATGAGGCATCAGCTCTTGCTCTAACTCCCTCATCAGCTTGACTGCTTCGACTGCTGCCCTTCTGCTCTGGGACTTCCTGGATTGCAGAGCGCACAGCCTGGGCTTCTCCTCCAGTCCTGCTGCCAGGAGGCTTCTCGGCTCCCTTGAGAACAGCAAGCCTGGACCCCTTGTTGGGCCCGTCTCCTGACGTTTCCTGTTTCTTCCGCTTTCCATCGCTCTCACTTGCCGAAGCCCTGTCTTCATCCCACAGCGACTGCACAGAAACCCGTTCTTTTCCTACTAGCTGGGCACCACTCGTCTTGCCTATAGCAGAAGTGACCTGTGTGGCTGACTGGGCATTAGGTCTGGTCACATTCGTTGCTGGACCGGGCGCAGCAGGGATGAGAAGTACTTCCCTGGGATATATGTCGTCAGGATCTTCAATCGTCCGAGCATTCAGCTTGAGTATAGCCTCCACAGAGCATCCATACTTTCGAGCGATGCCATACAGAGTATCACCATTTCCCACCAAATGCTCCCGGATGCCCTGTTGAGGCCCATTAATGCGGGAATCATCTGCTGAACTTCGTGTCCCAGTCTGCAAAACAGACAGACAGATGCTATCAAAACCAAACGGTTTATGCGAGAAGAAGCTGGAAAGCATTGCAGCCCATACAAGAAGGTTTCGCTTGGTCGAATTCCTGCATTAAATAAATCTGCAGATAGGAAAATTTGTCCATCTGTTATAGAAATTACATTGGTACTACTCTAGCTGCACAACAGCATGCTGAGAAAATCCAAGAAACAAGAAACAAAGGCCACAGCAGAAGCCTGTTGAGGCATCCATGCGCCTAGACTGGGTGGATTGCAGGAATATAAAGCGAAAAGAACACCCCAGCAAAGCGGCAACAAGAGCAGGCCAGTGTTCTCATTCCTACCAAAACAGTGTCAGCCAGTATGCACTTACCCAAAAAACTTGGCTTTAGAGATCAGTGTAAACAGACAGATTATCCTGGGCACTCGGATATGGGTATTTCGGTGGGACGCAGGAGACAGGCAGAGGGCGGATGAACGTGGAGGGAGCGTCACAGTCAAGATCCACCGCCGCCGTCGGTGGAAAAGCGCCGCGGTAGTGGATAGGTGAACCATAGTCATACATGAAACAGGCAAACAGGCGAAGTAGCAGAGTCCAAGAAGAGTTAGATATAAGAGATTGAAGTTTCTCTCTCCGGTTTGTAGTTGCACTTGGGCTGGTAGTCCTTTTTTTTTTCTTTTTTTCTTTTTTTTTCTCAGAGTGAGGCCATCAGGACAGAGGTCCGTATGGGACCGCAGCTGTTCCTAGTCCAATACCCTCCTCTGAAGCGTAAGCTACACTGATTGATCCTGTCAGAATTGTTCCCATGTTGAACCGTGGGACCCCGGCCCGACATATCTGTCAAATATAAAGTGACTTGTTCTTAAAAAAGAAAAAAAAAACTGGGCTGGATCACGAACACATCTTTCGAGTTCAGCCATATGATCCTAACTAAGAAAACAGCCACAATCACAACCGCGATAAGTAGGGAGTGACTGACACCATCAAACACACTTCTAATAAGCTGGATATTGACCTCTGATCAACACCATTACCCAGGTATCCAAACCTTGAACACCCACCTGATGACATTTTTTTTCTTTTTTTTTTCAACGCTTTTTCTTTTTTTTTTTCAACGCAACAAAGCCGCGAAGCCCCTTCTGTACTGGGGGGCATCAGTCCGGTTGTTTTTCTCCAGCGAACATGAAGATCACTTAGAGAGGAAAAATGAAAAATGGTGAGTGCCAGGGGGACAGTGGCTCCTAGATAGCCTGCCCACTCTTCCCACACACCCCCCCCCCCCTTCCTCTCGTGTTGCTTACGAGAGGCAATGAAATTGGTGGGCTGCAACCAGGAGACTCCTCTTGGTACCCAGCCATTGCAGCCTCGCCTCCTCCAAGCGAAGCCTGTAAACCCAGGAGAGGGAGGGGCAGACACCCGTGCACTCCCAGCCAGAAGGGATCCCAGCATGTCCCATGATTGTCATCACCTCGCTACCTATTGTGCTCCTTTATACCCTACCCATAAACTATCTCGGATATTCAGTATTATTAACCCTTTTCCTGATTACCCATGACATTTCTTTCCCCACATTTGTGGCACTACCTCCCCTACCGAAATTGTGGCAACCATTACAGTTTTCTTCTTATGAAGTTCCCTCACCGCAGTCCCTTATGCTTCATTTCTGAGCCCGTTGCAGCTTCTTTTCTAAAGCCCCCTACGAGGCCCCTCATTACCCATCAATGCTGTCTCTCCTGCTTTTATCATTTTATCTTTACCTGTAAAAGGGTTATGTCCTTCCCTTTCACGCCCATACATCCCTCTCCCTCCCCCACCTTATTTCACTCTGCTGTTCTTCTTTTCCTTCACATTTTCAGTCCTACCTTCCTAAACAAGGGTTAAAGGAACTGATACGGGGTCCAAATGGCAAAAAAAGTGCCAGCCCCTAACCTCCTCATTCACACAATCTCCGGATCAAATCAGCTTCTTAATCCTTGGCATTATCACAACAATCCAACCCCCCATCGCACCACCTTTCCTCGCTGCGGTGCACCATTCTAATCATGCTATACTCGGTCTAAGACCTAACAAGTGTCCGAAAACTGATCTGGGGAATGTGCGTGGTGCTTCACCATTCAAGAGCGAGTGCACCCAGAACCCCTCCTTTCTCCTTCCAGAAAAAGCCCCCTAACCTCATTGCATCCAACAGGAGTCAAACTTTGGACCTGCTTCAATTGCACATACCACTCCGACACAAAGTGCAGGGGGTGCACCAAGTCCCCTGGTTCTGTTATCCCTGACATACATGTATGGATACAAACAAATACAACGCAAACTATATCCCACGCTGTCCTAAAGCCCAAAACCCCAAATTTCCAGGCTAGGGTGTGCTCTTCTTCTGATCTTCAATCTGCACACCACTCAAGGATACACCCATTTGGTCTATAGACTACGCAATCAAGAGTGCGGCAAGTTCCTTGGCACTATCTAATGCCTGCTGTCTCTATAAACAATATAGAACATCATCCCCGAGGGACTGGTCAACAATGTCTATAGTCCACAATGTCTATAGTCCCTTCCCCGCATATATGGTTCTCAAAAGACAAACCCCAAACCCCCTTCCCCTTGTTAACTGTGGAAGGCATGACATCAATTCTCAACCCTCAAACCACCAGTACCTTTGCCCGCTTGGAAACAAGCGTACGCCTGTTAAGAAGGGCAACTTAGAGTTCGCATACCGGACCAAAATGGCTGGCAGCGCAAGCCAAAATGAGGCCGGCACTGGTTTTTCTTTTGGGGGGGGGTACGCAAGGCGATTTTACACTTGGCATCAATAGCTGAGAAAGGTACAGGTGGTTCAAGATATACTACCTGGGGGCAGGAGGGGGTGGGGCGAAGGGAAGGAAGTCTGTGTACCTGTCACCAAAAGGAGGCCAGCACAGGTCAAGACGGCAAATCAAGGTCCAGGAAGGAGTCCAGTACACCATCCAGAGACAGACTGGGCCCAGCATGCACAGAATAACCTACAGGTCTAGGCTACCGGCCTCAGGCGAGTGCAAACGTATTGCCCTGCGTAGTGAAGAAAGGCTGCTCACAAGGGGTGGCGTCATCGGTCAATTCGCCGTGGGATTTTCAGTGACAGAACTTTCATGACAACCAACCATACTCGTCTATTTAATGTCGTCATTTTAATGTCTAGGCAATTTCAATGGACTTCCTAAACCGCTAGGAGCAGCTTAGTATTGAACCCAGGCAGGGAAGCTAGCAGAACTTTTCTCGAAAACCAACCCACTACCAGCACATACAGGTACTGCAATAGCCACATTAATCTGCCTTTGGCATTATTCGGTTCCACACAGTAACTCTCACGATCTGGCCCCACTGGAGCAGTACATCAATCTGGTCATGTTCACATTTTATTTAGAAAGATAAAATCAGTGGGGCGTGGCCCTAACGCCCAATGGCACTACACTTGGGCTCTGGCACAAGAGAAACGACTGCCCCTGTCCATGATGAGGACAGCAGACAAAGCCCAAGGAGATTCTCACACTCGACCTTACTTTACTGCAGTTAAAAATCTCACACTTGACCTTATTTTACTGCAGTTAAAAATGAAGGTCAGATATTCAAGAAAAGTCATAGTGTGCATAAGCCCTAGTTACTGTCAGAAGCATCAGGATAAGTCTGACCTTCTTTTTTAACTGAAGGAAATTAAGGATAAGTCCCTAGTGTGAGCCATCCCTAAGCGTTCATCATTCGGCTTTTTCTGTACCCACAGGCAGCCCAGGGCAAGTCTAATTAGTTCTCCCGGGTGAGCTTATGACCCAACCAAGGGCATACTACTATACTCACACCAGGACTCCTCGTTTGATTTCCTGACGTAATCGCTGTCAGACAAATCCAGGTCCACCCTAATCGCTCTCAGAATCTCAGACACATTTAAGTCAGTGCTAGACTGTGTGTTAGCATAGGACTGGGAAGCTGGACCGATGTCCAACTTCCATAATTTTTTGTTTGTGGGTGCAGATTGGGACCTCAATCCGATAAAAACATATAAGCACTTACCGCAAATTCTTTACTTCTGGGCATAACATTGTAAAGATCCAGAAAGAGAAATCTGGGCACGTGGGATCTCGCCCCTGGTCAGAGTATACGTGGCGCAGGTTATCCAGTATGATCCTACACGAACATCTGCAGAGCGGGGGACCCACTTACACAAGTCCTCTTTTTTGTTTTTACCCGTAGATTGTGAAGATCGACGGCAGGAAGCAGAAATCCTAGGCAAGTGGGGCCGCGCCCCTGGTGAGAACCACACACGTGGAGCACATTATTCACTATGATCTTCCACACGGCACACGCACTCTTTTTCTTTCTTCTTTTTCCTCGGTCATTCAAATTGACAGCTAGTACCGTTAACGCGACGTAATGCAGATATTCTTTCCATTTTAAACAGACTTGCCAGAAAAAGGTCAAGGACAGCAAAAAAAAAATTAAAAATTTGCTCATACGATTCCCATGTGGCTGTATGGATTCCACCCAGGGACGGGAAGTCTGATGATGGTATCTCAACCCCATCGCCCATTTAAAAAAAAAAAGGGTAGCCTCTGAGCAGATACCCCTAGAAGACAGGGGTATGACAAACCACCCCCTAAAACTGCAGATCCTGGCCACGCAAAACTGTGCAATATTGGCCTGGCCGTTGACTGTAGGGCCTGGCGCACTCTTTTTGCCATCTGCCCCTCTACCGCATAGGCATCTCGTCTGCATGCCGCTCACCCAACTTCACATGTTCAATTCGATTTTCAAACAGTGTCCTAGTCTGCATGCCACACACCCAGCTTCACGTGTTCAATTCGAATTTCAAACAGTGTCCTAGTCGTTAGGGGTATGCCAAACCGCCACTTAAAACTGCAGATGCCCCTATCCCGGCAATGGGGGCCTGGCCGTAGACTGTAGGGCCTGGTGCA